GCACTAACAGAATGGCTCAGAAAATATTTTAACTTTTCTAGACCCCAAAATCGGACAGACCCCAAAACTTTTCTAGACCCCAAAATTGGACAGATCCCAAAATCGATGTCTACATCACTTATAATACCACTTACTAAATCGTATAAAAAATCGTTAACTGATCCAAATAACTAACGCGGCATTAGCATCATTCCAATCTTTACGAAACTAACAGAATATCTTATACTACTAATCTGTCCAGAAATAAAAGAAACTCATCCTCTTCAATTCGGTTTCACTAAAAATAGCTCAACCCTACACGCTGAATTTGTTATTAGTGAAACAATTTAACACTACAACAACAACAACTCACCTGTCTATCTCTGTTCGCTAGATGCTGAAAAAGCGTTTGACAGCTGCAATTGAGACATTCTGTTTGAGAGACTGTACAATGATAAAAAACTCCCTCTGTATATTGTTAATACCATATCGTCATTATACTATGAAAGCAATGCTTCTGTTTCTTATCTAGATTGCAAATCATATCCTTTCTATCTAACGCAAGGAGTGAGACAGGGATCTATTCTCTCGCCTCATTTGTATAACATTTATACTCAAAACCTACTAGAAACCTTACAAAACGAAAGCGTCGTAGGTACATCAATCAATGGAAACTATGCGGGTGTTGTAGCATATGCTGATGACATTATACTCCTTAGCTCCACCCTCTCTGGCCTACAAAAGCTTATTAATATATGTAATATGTACACACACAAAAACTGCATAAAATTGAATGCTGACAAAACCGAGTTCCTGCTCACCGGAAAAAAGCAAATTAAAAACTGCACAATAACTCTCAACCACCAACAAATAAAACTTCATGATAAACTTAGTCATCTAGGCTTTACATGGGATACAAAAAGTTCCCCTTTTGCCTCAATAAATCAAACATTGATCACCGAATATTTATAATTATTGATTTCCGGACGGTAATCGAAACCTTAATTCAATCAGGAATCCGTTTTGCTCACCCAAACTCCATTGTTCAGTTATATAAAACTTTAGCTGTTCCAACACTAACGTATGGTCTTGAGCTGTGTGAACATAAAAAAATGTTATCGATGTTTCAAAACATAGCAAAAATTATATTCATACCTTATTTTTTATTGAATATATATTAATTATTATACAACAAAACAAGCTAAACTTATTTCTTCGTTTGATGAACAATAAAATGACATATATGATTAGGTCGCAGCTGAAAAACAAAACAGCCCCACAACATTTTTTAGATAGTATCAAAGGGTTGTGCAATAATCATGAACTAAATCTGGAGACAATAATGGAAAGTAAAAAAAAAAATAAAAATTGTTGGCCTCAAAAATTTAATTTCTGAAACGGATCTTCAATCTCTAAAATGTGCAGTTGAGTACTGGAACTAAAAAGAGCAGAGAACTATCTTCAAGGACATTCTTGAAAAACATATTCCAAGATGATCAAAAAAAAAAAAAAAAGATTTTTTATATTTATCTTGTATGAAACTCTTAATTTACCTTACTTGTATAGTGGGTGTTTAAAAAATCTAAAATAAAAAAAAATTAATGTAGAACCGTTATTATTTAAAAATGTTTTGGAATGTTTCGTTTTTTAAAATGTAAAAACATTTGTTTATGTTCTCGACCACTGACACGTTTTGTCTATACTAAATGAATAAAAAACATTTTAACTAAACATTTAAAAAAGATTATAAAATATGCTAATATTTGATTTTTTTTTTCTCAAATATGAAATTTAATGTTTTTCAAATATTTATTTTTTCTTTTTAAAAAGTCAGCGAGTAATAAACTGGAAATTTTAATTTTGTACGATTAAAAACTATGCAATAGCTAATATTTTTACTAGCGATTTTTTACATTTTTTAATTTATTTTCATAAAGCGGTTGATAAGCACAATCACTTGTATTACTAAAAAACTTTAACGAACGTTTTGAATAGATTTTTAATGTTTACAAGGAATTTTATTTTTGGTAAAATAAAATAAAACGTTTGAATAAAAATCTTATAGGTATAAAGATATTTCAGCAAAAAAATTATTCTTAAAAATTATTCGAAAAACTCGTTGACGTTTTATTTTTCAGCAGCTGTTCTTAAGCACCCTTCGTTGATTTTCGGTAACCTTTAACAAAAAAGCTATTGATATTATTTAAGTAATTTTTTTTGAGTTACTTTTTACAAAAATTTTAATAGCTGTACTTTTTTATTGAATTAATATGAATCCTTGAGGTCGCTAATAACGCATTTTGTTCAATGTTTTGCCCCTACAAAGATTGTAACTCGTTTTGTGACGCGATTGCGACCTCAAGGATACATTATAATAATTAATCCTTTTATTTTTTTTTATTTGCGCTTACCAATTTTTAAAATGTTTACTTGAAATTACTCTTGAATACTTTAAATACGTCTAACAGTTAATAAATATTTTTAAATCTATGGAATAATTTTAAAACCTAACAAATACCCGTAAAATAATTATTTAAGTTGAAACTCTAAAACTAAAAGAAAGTATTTTTGTTCAATTTTATCAACAACTTTGCTAGTTATGAATAATTTTATTAAAATGTTAACTTAAAAAGATTTAAACTTTTTTTTATCTGAATTTTTTCTACTTGTAATTAATGAGCATATTTAATTTTTTTGTAATTCAAACTTTTATATCAACTGCGTGCGGTTTTTAAAATACTTTATTAAATGTTAAAATAATCGAAAATTACTTATTAAAATTCCGCTCAAAAATATCTTTAAACAAAAAATTTTTTGCTCGTCGCAAATAGCCCTAGCTACACGCAAAATGGCTCTTGGACGACATAAAATTCACATCGCTCGGCGCTTTATCGCAAGGCCTGGGGTATCTATAAATGCAACCAACAATAATATTAGATTTTTTAGAAAAAATAACTTCAAAAAATGTGGATTCTAAACAATTAGGTGTATAAATCATTAAATCATCTCTTCGTTTGTATATTAGTTTTTTTTATAAATATAATAATGTACTGCCACAAGAGGATTTTGTTGGTGTCTGCTCAATGTTGTAATTATCAATGAGAATTAGATGAATTAAGGATATTCCTTTTTTTAACCTTGTTTCAGTTATACCAATAATGGAAAAATCAAAATTAACTAATGATAATATTATGTTTAAATCCTGAAAGTGTTTTTGTAACGATGATATGTTTAGATGAAAAAAGGAGAGAGCGCTTATTTTATTAAAATTAAGTGTACATAATTCGCTTATGTCATAGTATTTACAAACTATGTCTAATGAAGAAGAAATCTCTTCCTCAAAATCTAAAACACGAGATGAAACATAATTATTAATTTGAGTAGAGACTTTATTTAAATAAAAAGACGGGAAAAAGTTTGTTGAAGTAAATCATCAGTTTTAAGAATTATATCAGAAGAAAATAGCAATTTAAATTCATTGTCTCGTACATCTGTGAATGGAAAGTTACTTTTAATACAGTTTAAACAACTACGCAACGAGCGACTTAATTGTAGTAAACTGTACTTAGTATCATTAAGCCATTCACATTTTGTATGAGACCAAAATAAACAAATATTACATTGAGATGAGCGGCAACTTTGACTAATTCATTTTTTACACAAATGACAGTTTAAAGCAATAGTGGAATCGCAATATTAGAGAGAATGTAAGAAACAATAAGTAGGAAGTAAATAGCTGTTATTAATAATTGTTAAAATAATATAATGTGTATGAATAGATTATAAAGAACAACCAAATAAAGTATCGAAAAACTAACAATTTTATTTAATAAATTAATGGTAGTTAAACAATAACGCAACAGCCAAATAAACAGTAGATTATAACAAAAACAAAAGTTTTGAAGAAAATTATAAAATCAGCCTAAAAGAGTAAAAAAATTAAGTAAAGTCAAGAGAAATGTAGATTAAATATATAAATACAAATAATGTCAAATAAATTTGTCATTATTTGCTTCTTTTTTGAAAATGTGTATAGAAATTCTACATTTTTGCAGTGTTTTTATACCATACATTTATTAGAAATTGCTATAACAAAACCCTCAAGAGATGAATTGACAAAATAACATCATAGCATTAAAGAAAACACAAAAAATTAAACTAATTCATAACATGAAAAATTTTCTTTTCAGGGTCCAACCTGTCTTAAGCATTCTTAAATGCTCCTAAAAAGTGCCTCTTAATAACCCATGGTTCCTAATAATTCAGCGCCTTTGGTCATGTACTTAACCTAAAGTTTGGGCAATATTCCAGGAACAATATTAAAAAAATAGACTTTCATAGAAAACTCTTTAACTTTATTATATATCTACAACTTTTTATAAACTCTTATAAATTCCTAAAGTAAATTCCTCAAGTTTTACTCAATTTATCAAAAGTTAATCTCTACGTAATCCATCAAAGTAATATGTAATCATCCATGTTATCCATGTAATATGTGTATTTTGTTTAAAACTAACAAGTTTTTTTTTTTTGTTTAACTTCAAAAATATTTTTTGAAATTTAAAAAAAATTTATAATTTTTTTCAAAAAAAAGATTATTATTTGAATTAGGGTTTTTTCCTGAAATTTGACTTAAAATAAATAAATAATCAAGGTTTTTACAAGCGATCGGTATTGTAACCTTCATTAATCAGTAATCGAACTTCTACAACATATCTGTTGTAGAAGTTGGATTATTAACATATTATATACATAGCCCGTCACTTATACCTATATGCTACTGTATAAGTTCTTATCTGCCACATTTGTTAACTGTTGTTAATGTAAAATTTTTAGTTTTATGAAATATATTAATTGTAGTTATTTAATAACAATCTGTGATTTTTATGTTACTAATGTATTTAATAATCTTCTGCTAAAGTAAATAGAAATTAAAAATATTGAATTATAAAAAAATGATTAAAAAATAATTCAAAACAATCATAACCAGAAAACAGTATCATAATTATTTAAAATAATACCTGTAATGTTACAAAGACACTCGATTGGTAAAATGCCTTTTTTTGAACCTTGAAATGAAAACTTGAAATAAATCATTTCACTGATACTTATCAAATTTTCCACTTTGACAAACACTGAATTGTTTTTTTTTCTTGTCAAGTAATATTCGTGTGATTGTTTCTCATCACTGATTGACATCCATTCATCATGATCCCAGTATTTAAATTCAACTAATGTACAAATTTCATCTTCATGTAAATCAAATTTGAATATACCACCATAGGGAATTCTTCTTACATTGTTGCTTTAAATAAAACAAATACTTCAAAAATATTATTAACTTCAGATTAAAATTTTTATTTAAATTTAGAATTAGACAACTCTCATATGTTAAAAATATATAATTTAAATTCACATTTTTAATTGTAATTTTTTTAAACGTTTTAACTAAAAAAAATTATAAAAAATCACAAAAGTGAAAATAGGGTATGAATAAATTCAAGGCAACAAATTCTTAATCAACAATTAATCATTGATTGACTTAGTTTACAAGTAACAGTAAAAACACAATGTAACAAATATATACTGTTACTATAAGTTAATAAATAAAATTATTGAACTAAACACTATTGACCTAGAATTTAGACTAGGATTGAAAACTGTTCAGGCCAGGTTTGATATAAGATTCGGTCGGGGCCGTAGCTGATGCATCCTTAAGTATATATTTTTTTTAATTTAAAGTTCATGTTATGTTTTATATATATGCATTTTCTTTCTTTATCTAAAGCTGGTTAATACCATATGCAATGCACTTTAACTATGTTTTCTTACTTCTATCTCTACCATTTTCTCCTGAAGCGGCTACCTCTCTAGATGCTGATACCCATACCACTTTAATCTTCTCTGACATTGTTTGATACAATTTTTTTTCTAATCTTTGTCTAAGATTATGGCTCTTATTCTTCTCTTGTTAAAGACATTCTACACATCCATCTGATCATCATTTTCTCTTTCGACGCTACAACACCTGGCCTTCGAATATACCTTTAATAAAGTGGTTAGAAAGAAATGATTTGACAATCTCAAAAAATTTTCACTATATGAAGCAAGCTTAGGGAGCAGACCACCATGTCAAAACCTATTCAAAAGATTTAGATTTATCGAGAGTAATAGCCTTAACCTTTTTGCCTCCCTCTATTTCATAATAAAATCTCTCAGTCACAAGTTTTAGCCGTAGAGCGAGAGGATTGAAAACTGTATTGATTATCAAAGTTATTTGACTCAAAATGGTTAAAAATTTGTTAATTAAAAAGATTGTTAAAAATTTTTTAACAATCTTTTTAATTAACAAAAAAACATAGAAACGAGGTTGGCAAATTTTTGCCGACTCAAACACTTTCAGGTCAGGCCGAATGCCGACCCTAATTGCGAGGGTGGTATATATATATATATATATATATATATATATATATATATATATATATATATATATATATATATATATATATATATATATATATATATATATATATATATATACATACATATATATACATATATATATATATATATATATATATATATATATATATATATATATATATATATATATATATATATATACATATTTTGTATGCATAAATGTGCCTCTTACCTAACCTCCTGGATCCAAGCAGGTATGAAAGCTTTAATTTCTACTTTTTAGGTTTTAAATCAAGCCTCATTATACTCTACCTTCTTGTGCAGTTGCTATATTAAACCATTTTTTTCTTCTTTTTTAAAAGAACATCTCTATTGAAAAATTATGTCCTTTTATTATTTCAAGTAGTTAATGTAAAAGAGTAAAATCTGATGCTAAGCTCCGTTATTCTTAAATTTACTAAATCTTGCAACTTATTTCACTGTTAGAGATGCTCCAGAGACTTTTGCAAAATCTTTAACAGCATCATTAAGTTAAATCTAATATCTTTAATTCAAGGGTCTGAAGTTATTACTTTTTCTCCAGAATAAGGCTAAAATAAATTATTTTCCTCTAATTTAACACTTGAATCTAATGGCCATACTCTTCCTGCCATTCCAGTTAAACAGTTTAACTCATTGTTAGACTTTGGCTTGATGCTTAAGTCACAATTTTAATGTTCTACCGCTTGTGGTTCAGACAACAAAGTTTTAAGCGTTCTCCATAATTCTCATCAACCCAGGCTAAACTATTATCAAATGCTAAATAAGTGGCTCCAATATTTAAAAAACTCTAAAAAACATTCTAACCTCTTAAACTACCCTAAAACTTGTCTTTTCTTTAGTATTAGATTTAAACGTTTTATTAAAATATTACTTTTTATTAGATCATTTCTTTCTAACTGCAGTATTAAAGTCATTCTTGAAAGGCTTCTTTAATTCCAGTAACTTAAGGAATTTATTCATCCTATATTGTTTTTAATCTGCAATAATAAAGATCTGCAATAATAAAGATCTTAAATTTAAAGTGGCTATATTTGTTGATAACTCAACAACATACTCATGTTTTGTTATTTTAAGCAAAGTGATCAAATGTCTTTACTTGTTGATTGTTTACTAGTTCAATCAACCAAAACTCATTCTTGCTTGGATTGCATCCTTTTACTCTATCTATTCGTCTGCGGATGAATATTGATGTAGACGCATGAAAGTTAATTTAAAATATACTAATATAAAAAAACTATAAAAAATTTTATTTATCTAGTATATTTCCTTGCACATAAACAAAATCTCAAAACTTTCACCAATCTTCATGGTTTCCTGACTCATGCAACTTTTTATATCTTTAGTTTATAATGGCGCAGAGAAAACAGAAATTACATTAATCTTTACTGTAACACAAAACTGCTTCATCAAATAATGCGCAAGTTACTGATTGATTTAAGCTCATTCCAAAATCACTGCGCTTATCTATAACAGTACCTCGGTTTTATAATAATCCATCTCAACAAACCAAAACTTTAGATAGTCTTTCTCCGGCTTCAGCATCAGCTTCCAGTGAAAAATTAAGAAGACCAATATGGTACAAAGGTGGAAATCAAATCTCAACACCAACAACCATAAAATCAGTTGAATCAAAATTTAACAATACTGCTTCAGCTATTTTGAAAAAAAATCAATATTTTTATATATAACTATTTTAATAAATATCTAAAAATTTATTATATTATTAAATCCCCTTTATTTTGTTTGATTCATTTTTGTTATGTTGTCTGATCTTTCTCTATTACATTAGTTTACCTTGTTTGTTTTTTATTTTGTTTTTAGACCATCTTTAAATATATAGTAAGTGAAAACTAAAAAGAAAAAGAAAAAGGAAAAAAAATAAACTCACTTTTTTTTATCCTTACTGAATTTCCGATCTGAAAAAAATTTAAAGTTGATCAATATATATATATATATATATATATATATATATATATATATATATATATATATATATATATATATATATATATATATATATATATATATATCATTTATTTAAAATAAAAAAATAAATTTGAAATAAATTTAAAGTAAATTTAGTGTGGAGGTCAACAACATGACAGGTCTCAATGCAATATCGAAACTCAACTTGCAGTATCTGTGGAAAAAAGGACACTGGGCAGCTGTCTGCTTAAGTAACAAATTAACTCAAAACAACAGCATAAAACCAAAACCTCCAAATAAAACAACAATAAAGGGTGTTGCAACAAACTATGAGTGCAATAATAACCAAGATAACATCGTACATATGACCACAATATAGCCTCAATAAACCAAAAATCATTCCTGAAAAATGCACTAATTAATGGAATACCAGTACAAACCCTTATCAACACAGACTCTGCCCTGTCATTTATCTCTCTAAATTTTATGTCTGAGAACAACCTTAACTTTAACACAAATATCAGGAAATCAATCAGTCTTGCAGATAATTCACCGACACAAATTATTGGCCAATATGACAGTAGCTTAATAATAATGAACCATTCATATTCAACTAAACTCTTTGTAGTAAAACAGCTAGTATCACCTCTTATTATCGGTATAAACATTTTAAATAAACACCCAGCTCTAACACATTCATTTTGTGAATGCGTTAGAATGTGAACCAATCCAATTTTCCCTTGCCCTATTTTCTATGAAATGTAAATTGTATGAACTTATATCTTATATTGACACATTCCAACTTACTCCAATTGCAACATTTTTACGACGACACAATCTGAATACTTTATTAAGAGAAATTACTTTATTAAGAGAAATTACTCTGCTCTTAAATGTTGATGTTATTCAAATCAGTCAAAACCCCTGGAAAGCCCAATGTTTTGTCACAAACCTATCAAAAAAACCTCGTCTAGTAATCGATTTCTATAACCCCATAAATATACATACTTCTCTAGACTCTTACCCCTGTCCTAGAATAGATGACCAACTAAATAAGGTAGCAATAAACAGTATATTCAGTAAAACATATCTGATAAACCAATAAAAAAGAATTATTCATTGACCGCCTTTGAAGCTAATGGAAAGCTGTATGAATTTAAAAAACTCCTATTTGGATGCACAAATGCAGTAGCCATCTTTCAACACATCATGGATGATTTTATCTCAAAATACCAACTACAAAAAACTTACCCTTATCTAGACAACGTTATTATATATGTAGATCTAATCAAGACAAACACAACAAAAACCTATCAGCATTTAAAATAGCAGCAAACAAGTTTGAAATGAAAATGAACAATGAAAAGTGTAATTTTTCTCAAACCTCACTCTGTTGTCTCGGACACATAATAGAAAACAGAGCGTTGAAACCAGGTCTCAAAAGGTTCCAGGCCTTACAACATTATCCTATTCCAACTAACATTAAACAATTAAACAGCTTGATATGCTTCTTTGCATTCTTTGCTAAACGGATCCCTAACTGCACCAACCTAACTACCATTCTGACTAATTCTTGTGACTCAATAAGCAAAAATATCCCTCTTTCAGAAGAAGCTACCACTGACATTAAACAACTAAAAGACCAACTAACCACTGCATCTTTAGCAACACCTTACCCAAATATTCCACATAAAATCAAAACTGACGCTTCTCAAACTGCTATTGGTGGAACACTAAGTCAAGAAGAAAGACCTATTGCATTCTTCTTCAGTGTCCTATCAAGGCCTGAAAGTCGCCAATTTGTCATAGAACTAGAAGCAATGGATATTATGGAATGTTGTTGTAGATGGATACATCTACTATTTTCTGCTCCAAAATTCAATATTTTAACCAATCAAGAAATTGTTTCCTTCTATTTTAATCTAGAACAAATTTCCAAAATAAAAAGTGACAAAATTACAAGATGGAACTTAGAACTATCTGAATGTTGGTTCAATATTTCATATAGATCTGGAACAGAAAATATTGCAGCAGATGCACTCTCTAGATGTCTTGCCATAAATACCAATCTAAGTACACTAAGACAACTACATATCAAACTATGTCACCCGGGAGTAACACGATTGAACCACTACTTCAAGACACGAAATTTATCCTACACTATCAGTGAAATGAGACATAATTTTTGACTGTCAGGTATGCTGTGAGCTCAAACCTAAGTTTTTTTTTCTTTCAGGTATGCTGTGAGCTCAAATCTAAGCAATCAAATACCTTTTAGTCATAAATGACAAGTATTCCAGATACCCATTTGCATTCCCTGGCTCCCAAATCACCTCTAATATACTAATAAAATAACTTTTAAAAATATTTTCTCTTTTTGGCACCCCTGCCTGCATTCAGTCCGATCGTGGTACTCAGTTTGAAAGAAGAAAACTTTCTTATAGTCAATGGTGTCAGCATGACACAATCAACACCATATCGACCACAAGGAAATGGGTAATGTGAAAGACTAAACTCTACGATCATAAAAACAATAAACTTAGCTTTACGAAGTTTTGGATTGGGAAAAACTGACTGGGAACTGGTACTCCTTGCAGCTCTATCCTCTATTCCATCAATACTATGCACTTCAACAAATTCTAGTCCACACAACAAATTAATGGGTTTTAAATGCTCAACTGGTACTGGTGTTGATCTACCTGACTTCCTAGTAGAATCAGGTAGTACTGTCCTACATAAAAATCACCTCCCTTTGAAAGGAAATCCATTGGTAAAACCAGTCACTTTTCTTGAAACTGTACCACACGTATAAAATATATGAATGGTAGAATTAACACTGTATCAACACATCTAGCACCATGTGCCACTCACCACATTAAAGAAATAATCAAAACACTCGAAACCTTTGAGACATCAATTTCACCCAAAGAAGACAGTTCAACAGCTACAAACACTAGCAATTACTTTGAAACTGATGATATTGCCAACTGATTAAAACTGATGATACTGCCAACTGATTGCCATCTTCTGTCTGCTACTAATGATTTACCTTCTCCAAATAAAACGACTACTAGTACCAATATTACACCATCGATAACTTTATATCCAGACTGAAGACTGTGATATTGTGTTATTGCAATAGTGGATTACTTTATATTTTAGATAATATAATAAAAACCTTACTACTAAATTACTTGATTAGTCTTTATTGGGTTTACAACAGTCACCATGAAATTTTGACTCTGTCAATTAAAATCAGAGAAAGTTCAAAGCTTAATTGACTGAAATAAATTCTTAAATATTAAACTTAAAGCTGCTGCTGCCATTGCTCATTTGTGCATGTTTTGGTTTTTTTATCTTCTTAATCAATTTTAACCTGTTTATAATATTAGACAATAATTTATGTTCAAGAACAAAATCATTTTGAAAGTTGGCTAATTACCAGGTGCATCAATAAAAAAAATGTCATACAAATTATACTGTTTTTTTTGGTTTTTCTACTGCTGAAACATGGTTTAAATTTAGTAAATTTATATGGTTAGAAATTTACTGTATTAATCATTAGTCAACAACTAAAGAAAAACTAGAATTCTACAAAGTATTTAAAATAATTGTGTTTATTGTTAACATTATAAATTAAGACTTTACAGTTAGTTGTGTTTTTGCTACTATATTGTTTTTGTCACTTACTTATGTTTAACATGCTATTGTTATGTTTATGACACTCAACAAATGTTTATGATACTCAACAAATCATAACAATTTGTTGCACATTATTTTCAACTCAGTGCCTATCAGTGTTTGTCTCTTTCTGTCTCTGTAATGAGAGTGGTATAGAAGGAGCATTAATGTAACCCTATTTGCTTATTTTTTAGCTCATAGATTTATCTTGATACAGCAATTATAATGATCTTTCATAATATGTTACACTGTTAATACACTTTCATAATATGTTACACAATAAAATATCATGAAAACACTTCATTATAATAAAATATCATTGATTTCTTGTTAGATTAGCATACCCAATAACCAGAAATAAAATTTAAATTCAAACTTTTGATAAATTTGGTGTTTATATCAAAAAGCCCTATCTTCTACATTGGCAACTATATGCTGTATGTTTGAGAACACAATATTGTAATAGCTTGTCCTTTAAAGTTAATGAATATTTATTACAATGTATGTCATTTAATAAATGCAACACAAACAAGGTTGTATTTATAAATGTACCTAATTTATAAATGACTATTGGTTTATTATTTACATCACATTTCTAAAAAATATTAAACAAACCTGGCTGTTGTTATTGGAAATGCAGTTAACTTTTTAGCATTGATCTGTAACTTTATTATAAAAAATAAAGTCAAATATCTTATGCTATGTGCTAGTGCTGTGTGTTACCTGAACCATGAAAAAAAAAGTTTGCTCTTATTATTTAACACTGTTGAAGATTCTCCAAAAATTCTCAAGATTTTTTAGATTAAATACAAGATTTTGTGAGAGTTTCTTTGGCATTAGACAAAGTCTTATTTGACTTCTTACAGGACAAATAACAAAAGATTTCTACTCAAGCTATCACAAAGATTACGGAAAGAATCTCAGACACCTTTAAAGTAGTTGTATGAGGTACAATGATAGGGGGATTCAGATGATAAAGAAGAATAAAATAGTTTTAGAGAGATCAAACCATGATCAGAAGCACTTAAGCGCAAATATGGAAAACACTGAGCACTGACTAGGATCAGAAACAAAACATAAGCCATGTAGAAATGATAAATGATTAGGATTGTCTGGAAAGCGAGTTGGAAAGTTGACTACTTGTGTTAGAGATTGAGAAAGGCAAAAGTTGTATGCTTTAATGCCTGCAGAGTTACTGATATTATAGCCAAGACATTTTATGTGATAAGCATCAAAGTTGACAACAAAAATGATACTGGCCGATGGATAATAAGAGAGGGCTTGGTCAATTTGATCAGAAATAACATCA